CATAGTCATAGTCATAGTCATCAACCTAACCTCACTGAACTATGAATCATAGGCATAGTCATAGTCATCAACCTAATCTCACTGAACTATGATTATGATTATCAACCTAACCTAACCTAGCATGAATGTTGATATTTTTTTGATTAATTTTTTTGAAAAAATTTTTTATTGATCCATCATCATTAGAAAAAAAAGACTATCGAAAGTAATCAACATACAAGAAAAAAACATTTCATTATATAGAGAAAGATAAAATTTGTCAGCGGTTTATTCCCGGTTACCGGTTTTAGATCACATTTGAATTTTCATTCCCAAAAACAAAAACAAACCAAGTAATTAATTTATAATTATGGATCGAAATAAAATAAAGTGAAGAGAAGAGAAAAATGTTAACCAAGCTAGAACCGTGTATGTTTGTGTTTGTCATTTAATGTTCGTTTGATTTGTTGTTGTCGTCGTTATGGGATTTGAGAAATTTTTTTTTGAATTTTGAATGAAGAGAGAGAGAGAGAGAGAGAGTTACCAACCGAAAAAATATTGCCATACGTTTCATAGGCGTTTTATTTTTTTGCATGTTTCTCAGCCTCTAAATGAATCGATTTTTTATTATTTAATAATAATAATAATTCTGACATTTCATTTTTTATTCAAAAACATTTTTCTCTGGTTCATTTTCATATTTTACTTCTGTTTTTTTTTCATTTTCTCACGTGAAACGTGCCAGTCGTCATTTGATAACGATTTTCTGTTGAGTTGTTGTTCTTTTTTCAAAATGAAAAACTGGTCCCCTTAGAATTTGTCCTATGGTTATGATTCGGTCATCATCATCACCAGGGAAAGTTTCCGGTAATTGATGATGATGATGTTTAAAGGCAAAAATAGACATTATTATTCTGATTATTATGACTTTATGCAATCGATATTGATAATGATGATGATTATCATTATCGACAACGATGATGATGATAAGCTGATCAATTCATTTCGTTTTTTTTCAATTTTTGATTTCCCCACCGGAATACTTCCCCTTAAAAGAAAGTTTCCATATCATTTCTTTTTCTGAAATTTTTTTTTAAAAATTTTTTTATGTGTTTTCTTTTTACTCAATTTTTTTTCACTGGCAATTTATTTTCATTTTCATTGCAATGTGATGTCTTTTTCGTTTCAGTGATATCTTTCACTACCGGACTGATTTTTCTCTTTTTTTTGATATCTGTGTGTTTGGGATGTTGTTGTCGTTGTTGTTCGGGATAATGGTTGGATACAGGAAAAGTTTTTTTTTTCATTTTTTTCTCATTCGTTTTTCCTGTTAAAGTCGATAAGGTCCATTAGGTTTAGGGCAAGTCTGTTAACGAAACGAAATCGGAAAAACGAAAATAGGAAAAAAAAATTTTTGAAGGAAATCGAATCCTGGTTTTGGGTTTTGGAATTTGTTTTTTTTCGGTGGATTCCATTATGTGGTTTTTCATTCTGCTGTTTTTTACCGAGAAGGATTTATTCATCATCATTACTACCCATGTATAACATTGATGGAAAAAAACTTTTCAATCAAGCCAAAAAGGTGATTTTCCAAACAACATGTCATTTATGATGGGTGTTTGAATAGTGATTACTTTTTCTGTCATTTCCATAAATAATATTCCACTATTCGATTTGGTGAAAATTGATTGATCGATTGAATCCAATCGATGTAACCTATACGAGAATAATGTATTTAACTTTTTTTTGAAATTGAATTTTCTCTTTACTTTGTTCACTTGTCAATAATGAAATGAAATGATGAATTTTCCTTAACTGAAAAAAAATTATTTTCGTTTCAAAATAAAACACATGGTTCGAACGTATAAGCATGATGGCAATATTATTAAATTGTGTTACACTGGGAATGTATCAACCTTGTTCGGATGATGAAACCTGTACAACATCACGTTGTAAAATATTACAAACATTTGATGATATTATATTTGGATTTTTTGCTATTGAAATGGTCATTAAAATGTTGGCAATGGGTATTATGAATGCACCAAATTCCTATCTTTCGGATACATGGAATCGTTTGGATTTTTTTATCGTTGTTGCCGGGTATGTTTTCTTCTTCTTCTGTATGATTGATTCTTTTAACCATTCGTTAATCAATCCATCAAATCTCATTCTTATATTATAGAGCACTTGAATATTGTCTTGATGTTGGTAATATGAATCTATCAGCTATACGTACTGTACGGGTATTACGACCATTACGTGCAATCAATCGTATACCAAGTAAGTAAAATGTAAATGTAAATGATTATTATTTTAATAGCCAAAATGATGATGATGATGATGGTTAATTATTGAATAATGTTTTCAACTATCATCACTGTTATTGTCATCATCATTATCTTATTCGAGGATCAGTGCAATTAATATAATGATGATGACAAACAATGATGATGATGATGGCTATTGTTTTTGTTTTTTCTCTGTTCATTAATTAATTAATAGACTCTACTCTTTTTTTCATTGTTTATAAATTTGCTTTTACTTTTTTTTCCCTATTCGTTTCACAGGCATGCGAATATTGGTTATGCTGTTATTGGATACTTTGCCGGTAATTATTCTATAACCCAATTTTTTTAACTTTGGTTTGATTGATTGGAAAATGTTCTATTTTTTTCACCATTCTCTCATCGGGTTTCATTTTAGATGCTTGGCAATGTATTGTTGCTTTGTTTTTTTGTTTTTTTCATTTTTGGTATTATCGGTGTACAGTTATGGGCCGGTCTATTACGACAACGTTGTTTTCTTTCATTACCAGCAAATACAACAATTCCATCCGATAGGTAATGTTTTTTGTTTTTTTGTTTTTTTCCTTGTTTTTCTTGTTGTTTTTTTGTTTACTTCACTTTACTTCATTTCACTCTCACTTGAATCGAATCAAATCGAATCAACTATGAAACAATTTAATGCATATATTCCAAAAGGATTTTCCCAAAGGAGATATATTTTTGTTGTTGTTGTTGTTTTGGAGTGAGTAAAAGAGTGAATTTTGGATGAGAAAAAAAACTATAATTTCTTTTAGTTGTTTTCCGAGCCGATCAACCAAACCAACCCTATTCCTATTTTGTTGATTAGATTTATTGATTTCAATACAATTTAACAGTGTACCATCATCAGTGTATTGAGTGAGTCAATTCTTTCCATGTTTAAACCTATTGGCGATGATGATGATGATGATAAACTCATCATCAAAAGAATTTTTCATGATTGATTTTTTAATACAATCAGTCTTCCACACAGATCAAATAGTCTAGTTTCTAGAAATTTCAATCTTTATTTTTCTTATAAAAAAAGAAGTTTGCATTTTGTACGCTTCTGTCAGCATTTTTTCCTGGAAACAATTCCGATTGAATTTTGGCGAATCAAATAAACAAAAATCGTGGTCATCATCCTTGATTTTAGAGTTGAATACTGATCATATACAATTGAATCAAAAACGATAAAAAATAACATAAAAATAACCAATTTTTTTTCCTTTTGTTTGTTATGGTTGTTATCCCATATAATGTATTATATAATGACCCGGAAAAAAATGTTCGAATCCTAAATCACCATTATCATAGACCCGATCATCATCATATCAAAGAAATTTATATGGCCCGAAAATTTCGTTTATAGTAAGATGCCCGAAATTTTTCCATTTTGATTATGAAGCTTATCCCAAATTGCAAAAAAAGATTCTTGCTTTGTCTTGTCCCCCGTTAATATTCGCTTTAAAGCGTATATATCTAATGCATTTTTGCCAGACATACTGCATTTGAGTTTTGTATTTTGTAATGTAATAATAATATTGTCCAATTTGAAATAGCACAATATCATTATATTATCAAGATGAAGATGATAATGAAAAAGATTATATATGCAGTATGGATAAGGATAATGGAATGCATCGTTGTTCAAATCTACCTAAATCACGTTATTATCATTTGCTGTGTACGGAACAAGCCAGGCCATTACCTGAATTGAATGAACCAAATGATTCAAGTTGTGTTGATTGGAATCAATATTATACTGATTGTCGTCCGGGTGATCATAATCCATTCCAAGATGCTGTTAGTTTTGATAATGTTGGTATGGCATGGATTGCTATATTTCTAGTCATATCATTAGAAGGGTGGTCTGATATTATGTATTATATTCAAGATGCACATTCATTTTGGTCATGGATTTATTTTGTTCTTCTTATTGTGGTATGTGTTTATATCATCATGATGTTTAAACACTTTTCTCATTCTTCAATTCATAAATAGATCGGATCATTTTTTATGATCAATCTTTGCCTTGTTGTTATTGCAACACAATTTTCTGAAACAAAAAAACGTGAAATGGAACGTATGCGACAAGAACGTGCTAGGTAAGTGTAACGAATGAATGATGAAAGGTTTGATCATTTCTAAAATTTTGGTGAAAAATGAATAGATGTCATTCACTGAATTCATTGGCCAGTTTTAGCCTAAATGAACAATTAAATTGTTATGGTGCAATTATACAATATCTATCATATCTAATAAGAAAAATTTCACGTAATTTAACACGTTGGTATTTAAAACGTTATGGAAGAAAAAAACATCGTTTCAAATCTATTTCAACAAATCATCCACATCATCATCATCCACAAAAATATTATTGTCATTGTAATAGTGAAAGTGTTAAAGGTAAAAATATTCATCATGAAATCAGCAGTGGTGGTGGTGGGGGTGATCAATGTTCAGCCATTGTTGTTATGTCCACCACCGCTAACAAAGATCATCATCATTATTCATCATCGCGTAATCGAAAAAAATCATCAACAACATCAACATCAAATACATCCAATGTGCCTATTGGTGGTGTTAGTGTTAATGTGAATATGCCACAACAACAACCACCATCATTGACAATCGATAACAATGGTGATATGTCTGTTGTTAATGTGGATGATTATCATCAACAATCAGCTATCAACAATGATGATTTGATCGTCATCACGCCAACCAAATCGCCTGAAACAAGCAAAAAATCAGCACGAAAAACAAAGAAAACAAATCAGAAAAAAATTCATAAACGTTCCAATAGTAGTGATATCAATAAACAACAACAACAACAATCACCCTCATCATCATTATCACCATCATCGATTGGACATGATGTTGACCATGATGGTGGTTCCATATCAAAAAATTCCTTATTATTAATTTCGGATAGTCATCATCATTCGCATTCGCATCATGTGAATGATTCAATACCAAGTCTTTATAGTTTTACGGACAATCCTAATCAACAACGAAATCCAGCATATTCTTGTATGATTACATCGAATCATCTGCATTCAAAATCAATTAGTTGCCATGGCCATGATCATCATCAACCATTGGCATCACAATTATCTCATCCAATTCTAACAGAATTCAATGATGATGATAATAATGGTGGTCATCGACAATCATCACCATGTAAATGTCGTCGACAATATCATCGTAGTGGTGGTCATCGTGGTCATCAACATCAACAACCACAGCATTATCATCGTCGAGGCCATGGTCGAAGCAAAAATGATTTATCTGATCGTTTTAGTTGTTCAAGTTCATTAAGTCAATCACGTAGTTATAATAATAATCGTTATAGTGGTAGAAATCGTCGTAGTCGTCAATCATCAATGATATCAATAGGTTCATGTAATGATCAATTTGAACGATGTTTTTGTTGTTGTTGTCCAACTAGTTGTACAAAACCAATTGCTGAAACATGGAAATATTTACGTTGTCGATTAAAAACAATGGTCAAACATAATTATTTTCAACAGGCAATATTTCTTGCAATTCTATTGAATACATTTTCAATGGGTATTGAATATCATAATCAACCACAATCATTATCACATGCCGTTGAAATCAGTAACATTATATTTACTATTGTTTTTTGTTTCGAAATGCTATTGAAATTATTGGCCGATGGTTTTTATCAATATATTAAAAGTGGTTTCAATGTTTTTGATGGCTGTATTGTCATACTTTCATTATTGGAACTTTTGGAAGAACATGGTTCTGGCCTTTCAGTACTGCGTACATTTCGTTTATTAAGAATTTTAAAATTAGTTCGTTTTATGCCTGCATTACGTCGACAATTGGTAATAATGTTACGTACAATCGATAATGTTGCCGTATTTTTTGCCCTACTTATGTTATTCATCTTTATATTCAGGTTTGTTTTTGGTTGGTTTTGAATTTTCAAATTTTTCAATTTTCATTTTACGCACAGTATACTTGGTATGAATTTATTCGGTTGTAAATTTTGTGATCGTAATCCTATCGATCAAACTCTGCAATGTGATAGAAAAAATTTCGATTCATTATTATGGGCATTGGTCACTGTATTTCAGGTAGGTTAACTGTTTTTGTTTGTTTTCATCATTGTGTGTGCACAATACACATTTTGTTTTTCACATAAAAATTCTCTCTCTCTTTTTCCCAAAAAAACACACATTAATCATCCGGTGTAAGCCTCTCTCTTGTTTTTCGGCCATTTACTATTTCAGCATTTTTCGTTGTTGGTTTGCAATGTAAAAAATATTCTGCTTGTATCTCTTGGAATATATTGCATTCTATTTATCAAAATATATTTATTTATTCAACTATAAATCGAAAATATGATTCCATTTGTGTTTGATCATGCATAATCCGAATCCTGATATCAGATTAGCAGATCAAGATACCTTTCCTATTTTTTTAAAAAAAAACTAACAATTAAAGTCATTTTTTGCAATGTTCTTTGTTGTTGTCTGAAAATGTGAAAAAAAAATTTTGTTTTGTTTGAGAATTAAAAAACATTATTCATTCATTATATGATTGTTTGTGTGTGCTTTGGGATGTTGACATTGTGTTTTTGTTGTTGTAAATTGGGTGCCATCAAAATTCATTATGTAACGTTCAACTGTATGTTCAGTATGTAAAATGAAAAATTATTGTTTGTTATGTGGAAGCAACAAAAATTCATTTCTTCCTTGTGTCATGATGATCATCATAATCATTTTAAACCACCACCACCAAATAAATAAATAGGCCTGAGGTTTTTGTATTGTTTGTTTGGTTTGAACGAAAAAAAAATGAAAATTAACACTCATTCTATGGACGCCGTTTGTCTTTTCCGATGTTGTTTTTTCTTTTTCTTCTTCAGATTGCTTCATTGTTCTCTTCTCTTTCTCTCTGATCTTGATCCTTCTTCACTGTATTTGAATCTTTTTTTTAAGGTATTTTTTTTCCGAAACGGTTCAATTCTAGCGAGAAAAAGGTGAAAACTATTACCGAGAGAAAACACACATTCTGAGTTTCGGTTTTCGTTGAGAGATTCTCCTGTGTGTCTATGTATCTCATCCATTCAATTCAATTTAACAAAGCTTTATTATTATGATTCACATTCTCTGTCTCACTATTGTTATATTATGTGGCTCCCTATTCTTCTTCCATTGCTGGCGCTGGATGAATGACTGAATGAATGAATGTGATGATACCATGCTGCTGAATTTCCCAAATAAATTCCTCTTTCTGTCTCACTGGAATGGATGGATGTTTTTTCGCTATGTTATGTAGGTAATATATGCACCATAATGGTAATGGCTTTGGCACATAACTTTTTTTTGGATTCCCCCTTTTTTATTTTTGACGATGATAATGATAAGAATGTAATGTAATGTGTGATTGTGTCTGTTTTCCACACATTAATATTTTTCCCACACACACCAGTCAATTAAATATCTGATTTGAACCCGATCAAAACATTTACATTGGGTGGGTGGGTGTGTGAATGTGTGTAGTGTGTATTTGATAGAAAGTCTCAATTTTTTTCATAAAAAAGCCCTAAAGGCTTGTTTTAAACAATCATCATCATCATCACAAAGAGAGAATATCGGTTACATTAGTTTTTGGGTGAAAAAATGTTTGGAAAAAAACTTCCTATTATAAGCAAGTAACCCGAAAAAACCCGATCAAATAAATCTGTGTATGTTTGTTTGATCGTCGTTGAATCACAGACCAAAAAAATAAAAATATGTTTAGCTAAGCAATTTTTCGGTTTGAGCCGAATCAAAAAAAAAAGATTCTATTGAAAGGGATGATTGTTGTGAATCGTTAAAAATATTATTATTATTGTTGTTGTTGGGAAATTTGAATGTCATACATATACAATTGAATAATGCTGCTGTTTTCATTACATTTCTCAATCAAATTGAATCTAAAACCAGTGTGCAGTAGTGTCTCGCTTTCTCTCTTTGATTAATAATAATTATAATTGTCATTCATTGATTGTTGTTGGTCAGAAAAATCGATCATTAATCGAATTGATCACCACACTAATCGAAGAGAGGTTGTACAGGAAAAAAAAGAGATCATTGGAAACAAAATCAATAATATGATGGTTGTATCAACAGTCCACCACCCCCTTGTTTAGTCCATTGGCAGAATGTTTTTGATGATTATATGATAATTTGGTTGTTTTTTTTTTGGTCGCAATATTTGCCATGTCCACACATTTTATTCACTTTTCTCATTATTGTTATATATCTTTTTTTCTTTTTTTTAAATCGGTTTTTCGTTAGATATTTTCGTACAATCGCATCTTTCCACAAACAAATGAACGACAAGAAAAAGGATTCTTTTTCTTTTTTTTTGTTGTTCATGTTTTCTATTTTCATTTGTCGATTTATATAATGACCATAATTCTTTCATTTCGTTTTCCTACCGACGAAAACGATGATAAGAAAAAGAGAAATTACATAGAAAAAATATCTCAGGAGATAGGGATGCTATACGTTTTTTTCTGGCAAAAAAAAATCCAATTCACGAATGAATTCATAAGAAAACACAACTAAACAAACAGATTTGGTCTGTTTCTGGTTTTTGGTTTATTTTTTATTTTTTCTCATTTGATGATGTTCACCTCTCTCTCTCTCTATCTTTTTTTCGTGAAACGTGATGGGCGTCATGTGTTTATTCATGTTCAAATGAATCAAACATGACGCCCATTTTGATTTTGTTTATTGCCTAAAAGAAAGAAAGAATATTATTATGTTGTTGTTGTTTGCAAACAACAATCAAAAAATAATAATAATGATAGAGTAATGGTGCGCCATTTACATCTCTCGATCTACAAAGATGATGATTATAAACAACCTAACCCAAAACACACACACAAACAAACAAAGGACAGAATTCTATTTAAGGTGATGTTAACCTTGCTGTTTTTTTCAAAATGAATTTAAAGATACTTACTCAAGAAGATTGGAATGTTGTATTGTTCAATGGTATGGAACGTTCATCACCATATGCTGCACTTTATTTTGTCGCTTTGATGACATTCGGTAACTATGTTCTATTCAATCTTTTGGTTGCCATTTTGGTTGAAGGTTTTAGTCAAGAGGTAAATCAAATGCATTAAGTTAACCTGACCAACTTTTTTCTCACTAAAACTAACTTTATTAATCTATGTGATTAGGATGAAATGAAACGATCAACATCAGATTCAAATGACCCCGTTGATAGACAAATCAAACAGGAACGTCTTATCTATTTTTATAGCCATAATGATGATCTAGAAAGAGGTAAGATTCATTGGGTTTGGAACATTGTTTGTTTATTTACCTTTCTGGAAAATGTATTTTTTCCAGAAATTCAAACACTTGAACAAAATCCAACAAATCGATCAGTTGATGATCGATCAATTGTTTATCATCATCATTCAATATCATCGAAAAAAAGTATTTCCAATCAAGGTTCTACTGGTGGTGGTGTGGCTTCCAATCGCAATAATGAATCCATCAATAATCGAATGTTACCGGAAATATCGATTGGTTCGATGACTCGTCCATTATCATCATCAGCAGCAGCAGCTGCTCAAACTGATATGATGGCGCCAGCCGCAATAACATCATCGATAACAGCAACAACAACCGGATTAATACCACCGCCATTAATAACACGTACAGCAGCAACACCACAAGGTTCACCACCAACAAGCAGTATAAGTATTAGTGAGCAAGGATTTTTTCCACAATTTCCACAAATTGTTTCCATTCCGACCAATTCCGTCAAATCATCAATCGATCTTCCTTTACCACAGCCATCACCATTACCATCAACATCATTATCATCATCATTGTCGATCGATGATCATCATCAACAACAACCACAACACCATCATCAATCAATGGTAAGCAAATCAAATCAAAACAAAATCAACTTGGGTAGAAATAGAATGATGATTATTTTGATTTCCTCAATATTAGCTTATTGTCAGTTTAAAAGATGGTGAATCAAATTATAATCAACCGCCCATCACTACAACATCGATGATATTACCATCATCGCCATTACCGACTATTGATGGATCAACGATCAAACAACGTCCAAAAACCAAACGACAATATTCAACTAACATAGATGATTCACATAGTGCCATCATACAACCATTTCATGGATTTCCATTACGTAAAGAGCTTAGCTGTATTCAGATTAGAAATCTTGGCCTGGATTCTGAACAGCCAACTGCGGTAACCGCAATAACAAAACGTCCGGTAACGGCTAAACAACGTCGTAAAAGTTTTTTTCAATTTCGTCAACGTTCATCACAAGGTTCGATGTCGGCAAATGAACAGAACAAAACCACCTTAGCCACTACCGATCAAAATATTATTGGTGAAGATACATTTTGTCCAATTTATGCACGAAAAAATATTGTTTTAAGAAGAAAAAGTTTAGCTGCTGATATGTTACTACGTTCACGTTCAAAATCGATTCAACATGATGATAATGTTGATGATTATCGTCAATGGAATCAACAACCACCGATGACGACTGGTAGACCTACCATCGATATTCATTATCCATCAATATCGATATCATCAAATATGTCGGCCGATTTTATCGGTGGTGGTGATAGACGTAAAAATAGCCTTATACACGAGATTCGTGTACTGAGTCCACGAAATTCATTGAAAGGAATATTTTATTCATCAAGTGTTATATCAATACGAAATTCAAACGAATTTCCAAACGATAATAATGATGGTGATGAAATGGTAAAACAACAACAACGACGTCGATCATCATTATCTTCATCATCATCAATCATTCATACAGCAGCCGAAACGGCCACTACAGCCGAAGCAATGGACAAAAAATTATCATCAAAAAAATCGAAAACGAAAAAAGCATCCGAATTGAATGAAAAAATTCGTAAATTTTGTATATATTTTAAATGGACATCATGGATGACCATTCGTGAAGATTATTCCTTATTTATATTTTCACCATCAAATCGTTTTCGTCGATATTGTACATGGATTGCTGATCATCCTTATTTTGATTATATTGTTTTAATATTTATTTCAATGAATTGTGTAACGCTGGCAATGGAGCGGCCAAAAATTCCACCAAACAGTCGTGAACGTGAATTTTTAAATGTTGCTAATTTTGTATTTACACTTGTATTCGGTATTGAAATGTTGGTCAAAGTTATTGCTAAAGGTCTGTTTTATGGTCGAAATGCTTATTTCCATAATGGTTGGAATATTATGGACGGTTCTTTGGTTGGTATATCATTGTTGGATATATTTTTATCATTTGTTGCACAACGTAGTCCACGAATATTCGGTATACTTCGTGTATTTCGTCTTTTACGATCATTGCGACCATTACGGTATATTTATTTTAATCCTTTTTGCCAATTTCATTGATGATTTGTTTGTTTCTTTCACTTTATGGTACAAAAAAAAACAGTGTAATTAATCGTGCGCCAGGATTGAAATTGGTTGTCCAAACATTGTTATCATCATTACGTCCAATCGGTAACATAGTGTTAATTTGTTGTACATTTTTCATCATATTCGGTATATTGGGTGTTCAGGTATATTAAATCAAATAAGAAATGAGAAAATTTTTTTCTTCAATCTTTTTTTTTTGTTTTTTAGCTATTCAAAGGAAGCTTTTATTATTGTGGTAAGTAAATTAAAAAATCTCTCGATTTTAATTGAATGTTATCCTCGTTTTTCGTTTTGTTTTGTTTCCCATGTGGCTCCCCAATCAACTAATCAACCGAAAATGTCATCATCACGTTCAAAAAACAAACAAATAGATGGCCCTAAAGCAAAACATGTCCGTAATAAACTTGAATGTCTTTCCGATCCTCGAAATCAATGGATCAATCGAAAATATAATTTTGATAATCTTGGTCAGGTAAATTCACTTTTAATTGTTTTGTACTGTTCTGTTTTTGTCATTTTTCAATGAAATTAATTTGTTTGGCTGATTAGGCATTAATGTCATTGTTTGTATTATCATCAAAAGATGGTTGGGTAAATATAATGTATACCGGTTTGGATGCTGTCGGTGTTGATCAACAACCAATTGAAAATTATAATGAATGGCGTCTGTTGTATTTCATTTCGTTTTTATTGTTGGTTGCATTTTTCGTATTGAACATGTTTGTCGGTGTTGTTGTTGAAAATTTTCATCGTTGTCGTCGAGAACAGGAACAAGAAGAGAAAGCATTTCGTGCACTGAAACGTGCCGAAAAAATGGAAAAACGACGTAAAAGTAAGTGCACTAAGAATTCATTCACTCAGTGTAACAACGAAAAAAAGCAGATCATAAAAAGAACCGAATGATCTTTCATTAATTATAATTGATTGACTTTGATCTGGTGATTCGATCGATTTTTTTTCGAAATCGAATCGGATCATAGAAAAGATCTTCTCTCTTTCAACAACAAATGATAATTCCCATGAGTACATCATATACAGGCAACATTAGTTTTTTTTTGTTCTTTTGTCCATTAATAGTGATGGATTCTAATCGTTTTTTTCGTTTTTCGTTTTGTTTTTTTATCATTATTTGTACATTTCGTTAGAAATGCGTGAACCACCATATTTTATTGGTTATGGAAAAATTCGTTTGAATATTCATCGTATTGTAACTGGAAAATATTTTGATCTAATAATAGCATTAGTAATCGGATTGAATGTTATTACAATGTCTTTGGAACATTATATGATGCCAATGGTATTTATTTATTTGTTTGTTTTCCAATACCATTTTTATCATTATCATTTTAATTCGTTTAGGAATTGGAATTTGCTCTCAAATTATTCAATTTCATATTTACCAGTGTTTTTATTGTTGAAGCAATAATGAAAGCTGTAGCATTAGGTTTAAAACGTTATCTTACGGATAAATGGAATCAATTAGATGTTATTATTGTATCGCTATCAATTATGGGTATTATATTGGAAGAAATGGAATCAACATTCATACCGATCAATCCGACCATCATACGTGTTATGCGTGTTGCTAGGATTGCACGTGTATTAAAATTATTGAAAATGGCAAAAGGAATACGACAATTATTGGATACAGTTATGCAAGCTCTACCTCAAGTTGGTAATCTTGGTCTTTTGTTTTTCCTATTGTTTTTCATATTTGCTGCGCTTGGTACTGAATTATTTGGCCGTTTAGGTAAGTAGTTGGTTTTTCTCCAATTTTTCAATGAATGATGTTTTCCGATTATAGAATGTGATGAAGAACATCCATGTCAAGGTCTTGGTGAACATGCACATTTTCAAAATTTTGGTATGGCATTTCTAACATTATTTCGTGTTGCAACCGGTGATAATTGGAATGGTATTATGAAGGTAATCCTCACTATTTTTTCTATTGTTTTTTCTGAATCTAAATGCAAAATGATTTTTGTTTTTCAAATAGGATACATTACGGGATAAATGTGATCCATCAAGTGATTGTTTACGAAATTGTTGTATATCACCAGTAATAGCACCATTATATTTTGTTATATTTGTATTGATGGCACAATTTGTATTGGTTAATGTTGTTGTTGCTGTTCTGATGAAACATCTGGAAGAATCCCACCATCAAATGGATGAAGATGAAGATTTTGAAATTGATCAAGAAATTGCCAGAGAAATTGAAGCTGAACGCAAAGCTTTGGCTGAAGCAATTGAACGTAGAAAACGAGAAAAAAGTTTAAAAGTTCGACGTCCATTATTGAAAATGGCATCACTGCCATCGAATTTTACATTTACATTGGCTGATGAAACAACTACACCAATGACACCACCGCCAGCTCAACCGGGCTATCGTCCAACAATAATCAAATCTTTATCGAATAATTTTGATACAACAACATCATCATCATTAAAGAATCGTTCGTCATCGAAGAAGAAGACCAAGAATTCATTACAAATGAAAAATAACAACAACCAAAACCATCAACAAAACATTATGGATTCATCAATATCATTGAATAATGATGATGATGGACGATCAAATTATTTTAATTTTCCCCCGTCAACAACAACAACAAATAAATTGACTAAATTGAATGGAATTCTAAAAAAATCACATAGTCTCAAAGTGGCTAAAACATCAACAACGATGAATGGTAAAACAAGTGAACAAAATTGTCTTCTCGTTACGATACCCAAGCCGAAACATGGCCATGGACATCTACTTAGTTCAAAATCAATGATAGACAATTTTAATGATTTAAAATTATCCAATGATGATCAGTCTCGACGATTTGTTGATTCGATTAGTGGCTTCAATTCAAATCATCCGAATCCGAATCGACAATCATCAATCATTCAAAGTCCACCGGTTATGATCAAAATTGACGACTGTTATCCAACCAGCAACAATAACAACAACAATACTATCGATGAAAAAATTGATCCTAAATCGGAAATGATGATAATCGATCATCATGGTAATGATAATGGCGGTGGTGGTAGCAGTGGCCTTCATCTTGGCAGCGATCTATTAACAACAACTAATGTAACAACAACGACAACGATTGCATCGCCATCTAGAATTCAAAAATATCGTAAATTGAGTGATTTTTTGGATGAAGAATCCGGTCCATTAAGTCCAGCTTTATTTCGTACATATCCAGAATTATTCAATTCAGATACAAACACCTATAATGATAATGATGATCTTAATGAAGATCTTAATGATGATGATAATGACCAACAATCATCAAAACAACAAAATCAAAATAACAACAACAATAAAAAGATCGACAACAACAAAATTAATGATAATGATCAAGATAATACAAGTCTTGCATCCATTGAAAGTTGGCCATCCGGTGATCCTGATGATTGATTTGATTTTTGTTTTTGTTATTTGTTTAAGATAGATATTATACCCTGTTAAATGTAAATTCAATTAAATGAAAATATTTTCTTTCAAAAAAGACACAGACAGATTGTTGTGTCATAAAATTTGTTATAAAACAAAAAAAATCAAAATTTCTTTATTTATATTCAATATTGAATGTAAAATAATGTTTTTTTGTTGTCTATAAATTCTAATATTTCCCAGTATGGCAGTATATGTAAGAGTTGTAAATAAATAAATAAATTCAGGATTCAATATGATGTTCAGGTGATGTTCAGTGAAGAACAGTGTGTGATTTTCTATGTGATAAATAATATATATAGCATCTCTCGGGTAACCAATGATGATTCGGATGCCACTGCCATTTTCTTGTGAATTCTGATTGTTTTATATAATAAGGTAAGATGTTTGTTTGTGATTCTCATCGATTGGATCGTTATTATGAATGGATGTTATGGACGTCTGGTCATTCGGGCGAATCGGCTTGGCTAGTTTTGGATTTATCTGTTCATTCCGATCATCGTTGTTGTTGTTGTTGTTTTTGCTGACCGATTGACCAATGATGATTGAACCCGAAGAATCGATACCGATATTCAAAATGTTATCGGTTAGATCGATACGTACATTGCGTTTATTAATGCCATTAGTTGCAATGATATCATTGTTAACACAATCGGTTGCCATTATAACTAATGATTGGCTTTATACTATTGAATCAATGCCAAATTCTAATTATGAAACATTTTCAATGCCTGCTGAAATGGAATTCTTAAAAAAATCTACATCATCAGGCTTGTGGACATTATGCTATAATCAACGTAAGTTTCCAAATTGATCTGATCAACCATGTTGTTGCAACAAAATTAATAATTTTGATTTTCGCTGAAATAGCACCGGATACAAATGTCGAATGTATTAGAATCGATCATTTCAGCCAAGAAGAATACATACCCGATCAGAATGATTCAACAATGGCCATTCCCTGTGAGTATGATTGATTTTTGTCTATTCAGCGAACAAAACTGAAGATTGTTTTTGTTTGATCAGATGCTGTAAAACAGGCAGCAATTTATTTTCTAATCAGCACTGGTTTAATGATGGCTGGACAGACCATTTACCTATTGAGTCAATTATGTCGTTCACGTCGTATTTATGTATTTATATCGGGTATACCATTCATTTTGTCTGGTAAGTAAATGCGAATTCCATTGAATTAATGATTTATTATGGTCGCTGTCATCGCCATAGGTTTATTAATACTGACCGGTATCGTAGTCTATATTTCAACATTTAAAAATGAAGTTGGCTATAAATTACGACCAATATCACAATTTCAAGATGCATTATTTGATTATCGTTATGGTTATTCATTTCTATTCCTGGTCACTAGTCTTTTGTTATCCGAATTGACCGGAACATTGGCAATATTCCTATATGTTTCACAAAAACATTTTAAAATTATGATCGATACTGAACGTGATCAAGTTCTTGAACATAATATTATTAATTTATTACGAAATCAACAACAACATAAGATTGATGATGATGATATTCGAGCAACAACAACGAGCAACAAAGATGTTGGTGATGGTAACATCACTTATCCAAGACTTCGAATCATATCGATCAATGATAATGATGACTATGCTGATAATAATGATAGAAATGTTGTTGCCGCTGCACCACAATCGCCGTCAGCTATTCAAAAAACTATAAATCAAAATTTTCTGTCTGCCGATTTCGGCCTAATAGATCAGGCTTATTATCAATGTGGTAGGCATGGTACTCGTGGACGTCGAAATAGTCGTTCCAATGAATCATATCTTGGTTCACCAAGAGAAAGTGTTACGACCACAACTGAATTGAAATCGATCGCAACAACCACCGCAAACGCAATACAAAGACGTTCGAAAAATTCATTCGATTCTATAACAACAACAGCAATCGGTGGTGATCCATTAATGCAAGAATTGTGTGTTGAAGGATTAATATTGCAACAACAACAACAACATGGCCATAATAGTGGAAATAAATCAACATTTGTTTGAAACAAATTCAATAATCTTTCATTTAAATTTAAACTAAAATTCAGATTTTCGAAGTTAAAAAATTAAAAAATATTTTAAAAACTTTTGCTCATTTGGTTCTTGGATCGATCAATAGATGGTGCTACAGTGGTAGTGTTATGATCATGATGTTTTTTCGGTTCACCGCCAATCACGTTTTTGGAGCAAATTTCAAAATTTAAATTTAAATTTTGTTTTCAAAATCGATAAAGTAAAGAAAAGAAAACATGTCTTTGTTTGTCAATTTTCTTCATCAATGGCCAGCATATTGTAAACATCAAGTTGTTAATAATATTGTCAAAGAATGGTAAATGATGATTCATGGATTTTTATCAACAATATTTATTGATTTTTTTCAAAATAGGAAAAAATTTGCATCAAAAATTATGCCAACAAAAATATTTTCCGCTCAAACAGCGTCCACAATCGATTTCGATTCTAATCCAGATCAATTGATTAAAAGTTAGCCCAAAACAATATTCACTTACGATCGTGAATGACATTTGCCTTTTCTCATACGATTTCAATTCAATTCAGGTGCATTGGATTTTTATGCCACAAATTTAAGCCAATGGATTAGTCAACAATCATCATTTGGTATCATTTATCAATATCCCTGTAAATCTCAACATGATGATCATTATTTGGATTCGAAACTTGATCAAAATCTTTCAATGGTTTTATTTTGTCCAAAAACTGAAACCCTTAAAATACAACAAATGCTTACTCGGACGCGTTTTCATTGGTATCGAAAGGTATTGTTGAAATGAATATTCATGAATTAACATTTATCATTGTCACTGTTAGCTATCAAAATCACCAATGAAATCAGGATTCGAATCCAAATTGAATGAAAATATATTTGAAATTGGTTATGAACCTAAACAATTATCGAAATCGATCCTGTTGGATCGAATAGAATTCAATTTTAATTACAATGATCAACAACGATTGAATAATATGGATATTATTTTCTGTAATAGTAATTTAGGAAATTGTTTACTTGCATTTCTTGATGATTGTTTTACACCAACCACGATCAATGATCATGATAAAAAGGTGGTGATGAAATTAAATCCCCTATTGGTACCATTTAAATTAGCTATAAATATTGATTCAATGGGATGTAAAGCAATTGGTCAGCGCAAATTGTTAGAAGTTGCCCAACATCTTATCGATCTTTTGGAAGAACATTCCGAAACAATAACAATATTTCCATTCGCATCGGATAATCCGATTACAATCGATCAGTAAGTAGTATTTTTTTGGAATAAGATCCAATTCTAATATGTTACCAAATTGGATTAGATGCGATCGATTAGCCGTAAAATATTGTATCATATTAAAAGAAGAAACGCTGCGCAATGGAATTATTTATCTACGTAATCGTGATACTGGAATTTCGGTAATAATGTTTAAATGAAATGAAATTTTTCAATAATGATTGTTTTTCATTTCCATACATAGGAACAAGTACATATTTCAAATCTACTGAAAACAATTTTATTTTATCTTCAACCAGACAAATTAATTACATATAAAGATTGATATTTGAGCAATTGAGAAAAAACTTGATTAAAATTGATGTTTTTCACATGTATTGAAATTCAAATTGTATACTAAACTGGCTTTTGTCTTTTATTTGATTGATTTGATTCAAAATTTGAACAACAACAAAAATGAAGCCTCACCTTAGTATACAATTCGATTTCATGTGGATATTTGATGGAATGGCGACCATGATGATGACGATTAGTAAAAATTTATGTCCAGTTAATAATGAATTTGGCAATCAGGAATTTTTGGACAATTTGGCAATTTGATTGAAATTGTCAAAATCATCATTAACTAAACTTAGAATTTTACTTTTCGGAGTTGGAATGAATTGAATGAATGGATGATGGATGAATAAATTGGTTAAAATCAAGAAAAATGACAATGAAAATCCATATAGAATAGATTATATAGACTATATAGATTTTATTGTCACCCTTGATCGTTGACCCATGTTATTGGTTATTGATGATGATGAGGATCTGGACAAATCCAAATTCGGGATTCAAATTGCTCGACATAATCGGATAATTGTTATAGACGATATTTATTGTGTCAAGCAATTGGATTGGCCCGAATTTGAATTTGAATTATTGACTGCTTTTATGGTGGTAAGATATCGTTGAATTCACCAAACTGAAAAAGAATTGATCTTTTTATAGCCTGATATGATATAAATTAAACTTTACAAAAGAGAGAGACCACCAAAAACGAAAACGACAAAAAATGGAAAAAGGCAGGTAGATTTGTGATATGTGTGTGGTATATTGAACATTGTGAATGGCACATAAATCATTTGATAATGATCATTCGACGACGAATCAATCAAAGAAAACCGACGCCGGAAACGGCTTCAATTAACGATAAAGCAAACATTCAATCAATAATAAATTGTTTTTCTTGTGTTCAAAGGTTTAAAATTTGAAAAAAAATAAAATTTATTAATCTTAAAATATTTTGTCTATAATTTAATTGTTTTGTTAATCATTAATGGATTACGTTCAATAAAAACTGGATAACGTCCTTTTGGATTTTGTCGTTTATCCAATATAGGCCATTCGGATTTGATTGAATTTGAATTGTTTGTTTTATCACGAAATCGTTCGGAAAATTTTTTCAACAAAAAATTTGGCACTGCAACTGATGCTGTTAGGGTGTATTTATCCGGATCAAAACCACAAATAACCAGATAACGGCGAGAATTATGTGTTAGAATTTCACGATTTTCATTCACCATGACCATTGTTTCGATACGAACGTTATCCTGAAACGAGAAGAAAAATTAAAATCATGTTCGGAAAACAAACAACGAACAACATACAATAGTTTTGCTTTTACAAAGTTCATGATTAATAGTAAAATTATAGCTATCTTCCGGGTTATTACGATCACCATTAATCAAACAAGCTGGATTATCTGATCCTTCTACGGAAATTCTACCACCAAAATATGGTCCAGTGAATACTTGAATTTCCGATTGATTAGCCAAACAACGTAAAGTACGAGCATTAACTTTCGAAAAAAAGAACAAAAATCAAAATCAGAATTGAATTTGGTGATAGGTCTTACAGCTTTTAGTGGAAACCAGAATGGCATCAGAATGTTTTGTTTTGATAAGATCCTGATCCTGATCATCATTATCATCATCGTTATTATCGTTAAGGTCATCATTGTTCAATGCATGTACCATGACTGAATAATTAGTATGTACACGTAGACTATAAATGGATGCTTGATAATTTTGGTTATCAGTTTGTTTTAGATCAATAATAACATCATCGTTTGATGTTGTCGTGGTGGCTGATGTTTGATCACCAGGGTGGTCGTTTTTGTCGTTATCGTTGGTTGTTGTTTTTAGAATACGATTTCGGCATCGATTTTTCATTTGCCAGCTATTCAGTTCACAATATCTGAAGTGTATTTGGTGAGAAAACATTCAACGGAAATGATTTTGATTTTTTTTAGTTTCGAAAGTGAAAAATATATTTTTTACCTGATTATAAATCTAGGACCACCACCACCATCAGATTTATCATTGTTATCGTTGTTATCATTATTATAATTCCATTTTAATTTGATTGAACGAAAATCGCCAAACACTTGAAGATTATCGATATCTGTTTGAGATTCGAATCAATTAGATGATTTGATTTAATCATTTGAGGTGATAATTCAACTTACCATTATGACCATTTGATTTATGAGCCAAAACAATTGTTATAGCTATAAATATAATCAATACGGATTCAATAATAATGTTGACCATCATATTCCTGTTCTTGAAACAGAACTGAGCTTGTTTGAATCAGAAATATTCAAGTTGCATTCACCAAACAAGAGCTATGGCAAAGAAGAACGAAGATGAAAAAACCAACAACATTAACCATAACGAATTGGACAAGTTTTTTTATCATTTTTTTTTCTTTTTGTTCTGATGGTCATTATCAAAGGACGATGTGATGTGATTTGGTTTGATCGAAGAAAAAGAAGAATTTCGAGTTCAATGTCTTCAAGATCATTGTGGGAAAAGAGTTGAACAAGTTTTTTTTGTTCGACCAAAAAAAATCGAATACTGATCAAAAAATTTTGATTCGGTTTTTGGCTTCATTGACGAATGATAGATGGCGTTGTCGAATCTATTCGAAAAAAAAAACGTTCGAATAGATTCGATGCATCATTCGCAGAATCGGAATTCGGAAGGAAAATAAATGGGAAAAAAACGAAAACTGTAATTTTGTTAGCTTTATTTTTTTGTTGTTGTTTTGTTCGGTGTTGTTTCCATCCAAATATCCATTACGACAAATGGAATCGAATAAAAATGGTGAAATGAAGTTTTTTTTTCTTTGGCGAGGTAAAAATGTGAGCCCTGCTCAAATTTAAATGAAAATCTCTTACTCATTCTGTTTCCATTCTGTTCACTATAGCTTGATATGATGATGATGATTATTAATAATTCAACAACTGTTTCATTTTGACTATATGGTTGCCTCTTCTTCTTTCTTGTTTCGTTTCGTTTTTTTTTGCTCATCACCATCATTATTATTATCATTCATTGGAATTTAGAGAAAGTATGGATGTCAAAATGAACCTTAACAACAGCAAACACAGACATGATATGTTTGTGAACCGTCGATGGAGAATTCATTCTCATTCGACGTTCGAAGAAATGGCGAAACCGGAATCTAATTTTTGCAACAAAAAAAAAACCTGAAAAAATGATAAGAAATGCCGAACTAAACGAACCGACCAAAAAGCAATAAGTATCGCACAAGTAGACAGCAAATCCAGCGGGATCCAAAAAACAAAATGAAAATGAAAAAGACGACCACCATCACCATCACCATCACCAACACACACACAATATGTTTGTTTGATGGAATGGTGATTGGATCGACCATTCGAGCCAAAGCAACCAAAGCAATGAAATTACTTGAACCAAAAACCAAAATGAGATAAATATTATTCCTGTACCTAAAATGAAAGAAACGAAAAAAAATTCGGCTGGTATGGTAATAAATAATGCATCAGGTATGGTATTCTGCTGCAATTCTGACGAAGAACGAAAAAGAAAAATTGCAACAACAACAATTTGAAGCGCCCTGTGTTTAGATCTGATCTGTGATATGTGAATTTGGTTGGTTTGTTTGACCAAAATTTTTATTTTTTATTTGCATGTTTTTCCATTTCACATTTCATTTTCTATTTTTTTCTATTTTGATTCGATTGATTATTATTATGAAATAAAACAACGAAGAAGAATGGGTAATGGTCATAAGCTAATGGCAATTTGAAGTTTGCTTTTGTATTTTAGCAAAAAAAAGTTGAATTTTTGTAGCAAAAAATCCTTCGAATCATCATTTTGCCATCGATTCATTAATTTCAAAAAAAACAAAATTTCAACACCTCTAACCACCATTGGTTATGTTAACACAATCAACCACAATTTTGAAATGATTTTTTTTAAAAAAATGTTATTTTTTAAAAAGTTTGAAAAAAAAAATTAAATTGAACCAATTTCGGTTGTGTGTCTACATTGTCATTTCGTTTTTTCGTCTTCGGTAACCGAAAAAAAACGTTTTCGAAAAAATGTCACATTTAAATGAAAATTGATAGCCGTTTTTTTTTGTTGTGAGAAACAACCATGTTATTTCATCGTCGTCGTCGTTAGATTAATTTGTCGTTTATTGTCGTTGATCATGTTCAATGGAACAACAACAACATAAAACATATTGAAAATTTGGGGTAATAATTCTAAATTAACTTATTGTTTTGTTTTGTTTTTTGAATTGGATGATAATGTGATATTATTTTGTATACATGATGTTTCTCATCTAAGAAAATGAATGGGAAAATTGCTGGTACTGTAAGTAAGTCGGGGTTTAAACGATGAACATTGTTGACTTGTTGTTGTTCCCCGTTCTGTCATGTGATTAGAATTGGTATTTTTTTTGGCTTTTGAATTCATTCATTTCAATTCATTTCTCTCTGTGTGTGTAGTAGTCTCAATGGACCTGCAAACATTATTAGACAGGATGGATACCGTTATTGTGTGTGTGTGATATTCATTCTCTCTTCGTTCGTTGTAATCCGGTTCGATAAAGTTGATGATGATGATACACTCTCGCTATGGTTGTCTGAGTATTCCCTTAGGGTTAAATTGGGAACTTTTTTTGTTCTGACTACGGTGATCATATTTGAAACGATTTATTTATATTTTGTTGTGTTTGGCGTGTGTGTATTTCACTCGAAATAAAAAATTTTGTAATGACAATCCTGATTATTAGTAATATGGATTCAATAAAGTGATTAAAGAGAATTTCACAATAATAATTTTTTTGATCATATTTTCTCTCAACATCTTTAGATTCTTTTCACAACATTTTTGTGTTTCTGCTGTTTTGGTTGTCACATTGTCAGTCATGTTTTTTGTTTTTGTTTGGTTTGGTTTTTTGGATGATGACAATATTTTAAATAATTAATAAATGAAAAACAACAACAAGAAGAAGAAAACACTATTAATTATAATTATATTTTCACACTTATCATCATCATCATCAATGATGTTGTCGTCTCTTTCTGTAGAATGATGATGATGACTTTCAGATTTTTTTTTGCTGTTTGTTCCAGATCCAGATTGATCAAGATTCTTTATTTGAATTCGTTGTTTGTTTGTCGATTGGCTAATCATCAATGCTTTTTGGATAGGATTTTCTGTTTTTCTCAATACATTTCGAAATGGCCGCAAGGTTTTCACAAGAATTATAATTTTTTTTTGTTTTTCGAATCACAACTATATACACAGCATACACACACACACGTGTGTGTGGATATAGTTGAACAATATTTCTCATCCAATTGATGGCAAAATTTCATCAAAATGGACCGAAAAACTAGAAAAATGCATCCCAAAGGTATCGTTTTCTGCTGTTTGTTTTTAGTTTGATTCATTCTCAAACAAACAAAAACTTTCATTCCAAACAACGATCGTTGTTTGTTTATTTTTGATTTCAAAATAATGTTTGGTTGAGGAGGATAATGTCATAATATAAAAATAATGTGGCCAACAACAACAACAGAAATTGGTAATTGATTTTATTGGATAAACAACAGCAATTCAAAATGATGACCGGTAACGATGCTCGGCAGTTGTTTGCGATAATTGAATTTTCGTTTCCCGTTTAATGTCATTTTTTTGGTTCTTTCCTGCAAAAATATTGCTGAGATATTGTTGAATTACCGTGTGTGTGTGTGAGAGAGAGGTTATTCCAATCGGGAATTAACACAGTAGACAAAACTTTACTTTTATTTTGCCCAGAATGATTGATTAATCAAAAAAAAGGGGCGTGAAAGGGGTTAATCAATCGATCAAAAATTATTGATCAAAAAAAGGATTATTCACATTGAGAGACACACACACAAGCAGACACCGAAGATTAATGAATGTGCAGTAGGCAGCAATCGATATTTCAGAATTTGATCTCTACTCTGTTTTGTCGATAATTATCCGATCGGTTCATATTCGTTGATTATGATGATGATAATGATGATCATCATCATCAACAGCGAAAAAAACACCGTTTTTTAGGTTTGGAAAGGGAAGGTTTTGTTGGTCGATTTTCGGATCATAAATCGATCATCATATATTCCGTATGTTGTCGATTCCCACAACCACCATTACCACCATCATTGAACTGGAATATGGAATTTTCGTGAATAAAAAATTATGATTATTATTCATATATATGGAAAGAGTATGAAGATTTTCAGACGAGGATGATTCAATTATTCATGTTCGTGATAAAGTAATAAAAAAATTCTCTCGAAAAGACTTATCATTTTTTTGTTATTATTGATTGATTTGAATGGGTAATGTTTGTTTTTGTTCGGTTTGTTTGAGAACAATTTGTTTTGATGATTATGAATTTCTAGGTCATCAATAATTACATGTTTGGCGGTGATGAGGGTTAATTTTTTTTTGAAAATTAATTAATGTTTGAAAAATTTAAATTTTATTCAAAAATTTGCTTCGATCGATTCTGGATCGATATTCTCCATTTCGTTTTTCAGTTTGTTTTCGTATCGATCAATAATTCTTCGAGTTTCTGTGTGTTTTGCCAATGGAAATCATTTTGACGAAAAAAGTCATTACCCGAATTGAATTGACAAATTGGAAAAAATGTTTGGATTGAACATTGTCGATTTGGGTTGTTGGTCATCGATTCCATCAATGATGATTCCCAATGATGATTGAACCACCCATTCGGATATTCATTTTTGAGATATAACATCTGCTTGGCGATCTGGAACAACAACAAAAAAACCTTTTTTGACTTTTTTTCTGGCCACCAATACAACAACAATAATAATGATGATCTAAACAATCATCATCATCATTATGATTGTTATGATTATTACTTGATTCAGGGCGATGTTTGTAATATTATTTTTTTACCTGGTTTGTTATTTTTACCTGACGATCCACCATAGTGTATGGCATGTTTATCTGTCATTAGAGATGGATCCCGTGTGTGTGTGTGTGTTTAGTTTTTGGTTAATATTTTTTTGATGGTTTTTTTCTCTCTTTTCGAAAATTGTTACAAAGTTGATTTGAAAAGTATCTGGCGATTCGATTCATTTGGTTTTTCAAAAAAAACTTTTGGAAAAAAATTCTGCAAAAAACTGGCTTGCTATGCAAAATGATTATCATGTCGATTGAATGACGCCCACGATCATATCATTCTCTATGGAACGTGTTTGGTGTCAATATCATCATCATTGTTTTTTTTTGATTGAATGATTATGTGGTTAATATCATTTTCATCAACTGACATTTATGATTGACAGGAAAAAAAGGTGACGACGATCATCATTAGATAAAACAATTAGACCATCATCATCAGAATGATCAAAAAAAAATCATTTTTGGTGGTTTATTTAGGGGTGGAGCTCAATAGTGATCATGTGATAATGATTTTTTTTTTTGGGTGTTTACACCTTTCACGTGTCACATATTTACACCCTTATTTTTTTCTTTGATTGGTTAAGGGTAATTGATTGGACATTGATCCATTCATTCAGGAAACCAAAAAAAGGAGAAGCTATTGATTGATGTCATTAGTCGTCCATCATCATCACTATCGATATATCGATATTTGATTATTCGCCCCTCCCCTTCCCAAAAAAAAACCAAATTGTTGAATGAGTTTAGAATTGAATAATTTAACAACCAAATCTAACCTTGATTTTTTCTGTTTTTTGTTTTGATGCCGATGAACCGTGATGATGATCATCATCATTCATAAATGAATTTATGATCAAGGTTCACTATATAACTTTGTTGGTGTGGGAGTGGTATATATGGAGTTGTATTAACCCTCCCCCCGCCGCCGCCAAAAAGTTTTAATATTTAATTGATTTGATTAATTTTTCATTAACCGAAAATAACAAAAAAATTATTATTTATTCAGTGTTACGCAAACAGGTTGTCCATTCATTCATTCAATCGATAATGATGATGATTGACTTGGAACAACAACAACAGGTTTATCGTTGATTTTCGTTGCGGGGAGGTGAAAAAATTTGAATTTCAAATTTGGATCGAAAATTCCGAATTGGATTTTTTTACGATTTTTTACGAATTGAGATTTTCCGAAAATTGGTGATAAAGTGATTGAGTAAAGTGAAAGAATCCAGGCAAACATACATACACACACACTTAATAGATCCAAATAGACTCAGTTTTTGTTGTAGTTGAGGGTCAAGTTTTTTTAAATAAAAAAAAAAGTTAGCCGAAATTGCTGTTGTGTTTATAGATTCTAAACACGCACATGATCGTGATTTTGATGAGAGATGAATGGAATGGAATGGAAATGAAATCATCTTTTTCTCATTTTCACTGACTTTAACTGATTTTCGTGCAGCAGCAGCAGCACTTGAAAGCCAGCAGCCAGCAACCGAAATGAAATTTTGTTTCAAAAAAAGAATCAAAAAAAAAAAATCATTCCATTTCACAATAGACATCGAAATGTATCATTTTTTTGCTGATTTTGGAGTTTTTTCTGCGATTTTGAAATTTTTCATTTTGATTCACAATATTCACGATATCGGGCGTGTTTTGGTTGGTTCGTGAGCCAAAGTTGATTAAAGGGTTTTTGAAAATAAAGTTTTTTAGTTGAAATTTTTTTCAGGTAAGTGACAATTGTAGGTAAAAATAGTCAAGTCTATTAGCCAAGTGAAAGGTCAAAGGTTATTTTTTGTTCACCGAAACATCCAGGATAATAATGATTACAAACTGAATGAATGAATGAATAAGGTCGAGACATAGTGACAAAAAGCGTGGTCCACACATAAGACCATATGTTGTTCATCACACACACACACAAACAAAATCCAACCAACTTGGATATTAACGAATTAGATTTTCATGTTTTTTTGTTGTTCCCTAAACATAGTTTGGCTATTGTTATTTGGCTATTTGTTTGTTTGTTTGAATACAATCGACACCATGAAAACGATATCTTTTCGAATAATAATGATGATGATTCAAATGAATTATTGTATTGAATGAATGAATGAATTTTCAAGTTGAAAAAAATGGCAGAGTGGGGCTCTATTGAATTGAATTTCAATTGAATATCAAGCCTTCTCATCATCATCATCATTTTTTGATTAGCTAGTTTCCCTATTCTATTCTTTGATTGAATAAAAAAAAGTGTGTGTTTAACATTTTTATTGATGATGATAATAACAATAACTGTAATGTATTTATCATTAGCATTATCCAAAAGTTCGTTCTGTTTGTTTTCGTCGTTATGTTTTTGGCCAGGTCCCCATATAACTTTCTATTGTGTTATATGGTTAGTTAGTGTGCCCGATGGCAATTTAAATTGGACAATAAGACCAAAAATGATGAAAATCAATGATGATGATGATGATGTGACAAAACAACGATATTCTTTCTACAACAAACATAACCAGACCACACAGGAACGTTTTTTAATTTCGTTTTTTTGGACAAAAATCAAAATGTCAATGTTGTTGTCAAGAAGAGGGAGACCAGAAAAATTTTTGCCAAAATGATAATGCCGAATTGGGATTATCATTTTTTTTTGAAAAAAAATTCTGCCGTTTTTTTCTCTTGTTTCGAAATTCAGCATAGAATATTCTTCGGGCAAACTCTACGAAAAAACAAAAAACAAAAAAGAAAAGTTACCTACCTAGCTCAGAATCATCGTTCCGAACTATTCTCTATTTTTTCGTTTTCGTTTGTATGAAATCGATTTCAGAATAACCGAAACCCGGGATTCTTTTTCATCTATGTTCACTATAGGACTAGTCTGTGATTGGTTGAATTATTTAGTATGAAATTAAATGATAAACAGGATGGTACCAACCCGAAAAAATACCGAAAAAAATACCCGTAATAACCGAACAAGCAAGCATAACGTGAGACGCATGCGGTTTTATATTGATCCAAATGAAACATTACACACGTAGGGAAATAGAGAGAGAGAAGATGTATATAGCCTATGTCACTCTCTCTCTCTCTTTGCTATGTAATGATGATCCAAATGGAACAACAAATATACAGCATACACATAGTAAAAAGAATCGGACAGAAATTCTGGCTGGTTCAATCTGGTTTGGTGAATTTGAATTTGAAAAAAAAAGTAGAGAGACTATAAATAAATAATCATTATCAGTTTTGGTTTTGGTTTGGTTGATCACAATGTCTGTTCACTGTATGTTTGTTTCATATTACATCATCATCGTTGTTGTTTTATAAGTGCAATGTTGCTGTGTGTGTGTATGTGGAGTATATCTCATCAAATATTACTGCAAATCTTCTATCCTGATGACGAAGAATAATGTCTTTTTTTCCTATCAAAATGATGATGTCGAAATAGAAATAGTGGGTGTGTAAATAGTGAAGATTTTTTTTTATTTGAAGTTTTGCTGATAATGATGACCATCAATGAACAGCAACAACAAAAACGACATATATAATATACCGATCACTCCTACTTTAGGTTTCTGAAGGAAACTTGCGCATTAAACGGGAAATATGAATGGATGTGAATGTTTATAATACCCGTATATACCCGAATTGTGATTTTCTTTCGACGGTACATTGCTGCTGCTGTTGATGGTGCTAGTTGCCATCTTTCCATCTTTTCATATCACATCTTTATTTTGTTATTTGGTGTGTTCACAAACAAAAGGATAATCCCCGATAATTTTCTGTTGGAAAAAATACTTTTGCAAAAAGAGAGAGAGAATGTATTATTCAAAAAACTTGATGATATTAACACAAACTTGAAAGCAAAAAAAACCGAATCCGAACAAAGTTCCAAACAGAATCTGATGATAGTGATGATGATGATGAGAATAAAGTGAAATAGGAATAACCATAGAGAAGAAAAAAAAATGGTAATGATATTCATTATTTAACAAACTACCAAACATACACCACACACATACACCAAATCGATCGATCGATCGAATATCGACGACCGACCGACTACCAAAAAAAAAAAACAAAAAAATTAATCGACACACACATCATGAATACATTCATTTGATTTGTTCATCATCAAGCTGAAACGATTTTTTTTTTGCGTTTTATTTATTCATTACCTTTTCTTTCAAATGTTTATGCAAATTGCATAATTGTCTCTCTCTCTCTCCTCTTATTCTATTGCTTTATTAATGTGTGCATTCATCATTGATGATGTTGGTGATGATGATGATGATGAACATCCTTTTGAAAAATTCAACATGATAATCATCATCAACATTGAAATCAGCTGAATCAGTGAATCAATTATGAATGAATGACGATCATGTTTATTCTGTGTGTGTGCCCAATGTTTTAAAAATACCTTTTTGGTTTCTTGTTGATCAACAAATGTCTATTCTGATCTGATTTGCACCGGTTATTAATAATTATCATCATAATAAGTGTATAATGTATTTAAATCAATAATGAATCGAACATTATTAATGAAAACTAATGAAATAAGAATAATAACGAACGAATCAAGAGAGGATAACGAATCAATTGAACGAATCAATCGTCATCGTCGTCGTCAAAGTGATTGTGGTAATGTGAATGATGATAATAATGATAATGATGATTATTCAACATCACTTGGCAATGATAATAGTTCCATCAATGATAACCGCAACAACAACAATGATGATGATTCAAATTCCAATGATTCCAATGATCAACAAAGAGTGAAAATTCATACAAAAAACAATGATAATGATGATGATAATGATTCACCAAAAACAATTTGTTCATCATCACCGTATTCGCCAACATTAACATCAACTTCAACATCGAGAACACTATTATTTGGACATTATCATCAACACCAACAACAACAACAACAACAAATTCATTCATATCAACAACAACAACAGAATTTTAATCATCTTTATCAACAACAACAACAAAATCATCGTGACATGATGAGAAACAATAATAATCGACAACAACAACAGAATAATTGTTCGAATTCAAATTCCAATTCGAACAATAATAATAATAATACGTCATCAATGAATGGATCACAATCACATCATGTTTCCGTTGCGGTATGTTTACGATGTGAAAATTTTATCTTTTTCCTTGTTTGTCCTGAAAATGACCAGAAATTTTTTTTTCTTGAATAGAAACTATCAAATTATCATGAATGTGCAGCGGCTGCAGCAGCAGCCGCTGCTGCTGCTGCTGCTTCACATGTCCATTATCAAAATGTAAGTAAAAAAATTGTAGTTTGGTCCATTGTTTGTTTGGTCCATTTTTTTGGTGATTATGATGAGAAAATTTGTTTCAGGGAAAATGAATGGAAATGATAAATTCGAAAATTGACTCATGTATTGCACATAAAACCTTGTGATAAGATTGAATAATTTACACTGGCCCGGATAAACGACGATTTACCTGGCCCGATTATTTTTTTCCAATGATGATGATTTGCATGATGAGAATCGTTTAGAGTTTTTGGTTAGTTTGTTTTGTTTTTCGAGGGAAAATAAAAGCTTTTAACGCCATTTTAGCTAAATTGGAATCTTGTTATATGATGATTATTGTTTGGGACGATTTCTCTTTTTTTATTTTCCCGTTGATGATCATGATCGGTTGATAATATCAATGATATTCATTCAACTAACTTGTTAATTGAACCTTATTAATATTCATTTCAAGTACGACCATTTTTTCCTTTTTTGATTTTGATTCTCGATAAATGTTTTGTGTATGTATGTTTTAAATGTTTTCTGGTTACGGTCTGTTGACAATCACTTGGTTTGACTAAATTAATAGGATCGAGATTTTTTTTTCCAAAACAACCGAATCCATAACTTTGATGTTTTTCTTTTGGTTGAAAATTCTCATAATATTTATTACCATGATCACTTTTTTCATGGGAATTTATGGAACCCAAAAATTTTATATTTTTTTGTTTTTGTTTTTCATTATCATTTAGAATTCAACCAATTTATTCACTACAAATGTAAGCATGGCTGATTTACATGATTTGACCAGTAGAACTGGAATTGGTCAAACAACATCAACCATAACAGGCAGTAGTAGTGGTGGCGGTGGTGGTTCAAATAAACCAACAACCAATAACGATATGTATCATCATCATATGATGCAAACAACAAGACAACATCAACCACCATCACTACCGCATCATTCGCATCAACATCCATCACAGCATCCGCATTCACATCATTTAACACATCAATCACATACACCGGATATGCATGATTTTCTTACCGGATCAACAATTGCCGCTGCTGCTGGTGATTGTCCTGTTATGTCTACAGCATTACCAGTTGCATTAGGTTTAACAGCAATGGCAGCCAATAGCAATAGTAATGGCGGTGGTGGTGGAAATAATGATTCATCCGGTAGTGGGGGTAATAATAATAATAATTCTGGTGGCAATCAACAACAACAGCCAATACATTCACCACCACCAACATCATTATATTCATCATCATCATCAACACATCATCATCATCATCAAGCCGCAATGAACAGTAAGTGATCAATTTGATTATTGATTGATTTGATTTGATTTGATTGCGATTGATTGATACAGTGAACGGTATGATAACCAGTCTTCATCATCATCATCAACAACAACAACAGCAGCAACAGCAACAAAATCAATTATCAGCATCAATCAATCATTCAGCTGTTTCTATACAAAATCCATTTCATTCACATCATCATCATACGGCCAATTCGTTTGTATCAACAGCAGCGGCAGCTGTAGCAGCCGCATCATCACCGCATCATCCTCATCATCATCTTAATAATCATCTTAATCATCATCATAATCATAATCATCATAATCACCATTCAACACATCAATCATTATCAGCTGCAGCAGTAGCTGTTAATGCAGCAGCAGCAGCCGCAGCTGTAGCTGCTGCTAATGCTGCTGATCCATCAACATTGCTGTTAGAATCGGCCGATCCAAGAGAATTGGAAATATTTGCCGAACGTTTTAAACAACGACGTATTAAATTAGGTGTAACTCAGGCTGATGTTGGTAAAGCATTAGCTAATCTTAAATTACCTGGTGTTGGATCGTTAAGCCAAAGTACGATCTGTCGGTAAGTGTTATTAGCGATTCTTAAAACGATCCAAATTTCGATCAATTTTTTCCCGCATTCAAGCTTTGAATCATTAACCTTATCACACAATAATATGGTCGCATTGAAACCAATTCTACAGGCTTGGTTAGAAGCGGCTGAAGCTCAAGCACGTAAAAATCGTATTGCACGTGAAACAACATTAGATATTTGCGTTCTACCATCATTGGATAAAAAACGTAAACGAACATCGATAGCGGCACCGGAAAAACGTTCATTGGAAGCATATTTTTCCGTACAACCAAGACCATCGGGTGAAAAAATTGCCGCAATTGCCGAAAAATTGGATTTGAAAAAAAATGTTGTTCGTGTTTGGTTTTGTAATCAACGACAAAAACAAAAACGAATGAAATATTCGGCTGTAAATGGGCCACCGGGTAATGGTCAATAAAAATCCGGACAAATCTGGTCAATCTATCAATATCAATCAATACATTTCTTTGCCAGAGTCTGATCTCTGATCTTTCAATTCAATTCTAGTCGATAATGTTTAATGTTTGTAAATATCCCCAAGTTCCAAATACAAGTTCCAAAAATATTCCCGAAAAAATTCTTGAACCCATTTCGAATGTAATGCATGTCTCTTTCATTTTTTTTCTCTTCATCATCACTTGTGTTTTGAATTTTTAAGAAATAATAAAAAAAATTGATGTTTCGCAAATGTGAAATGTTTTTTTTTCAGCGAGGAAAATGGACTTTGTAATTGGATCAAAAATGAATATTTTTCTTTTTGGCTGCTTGAAACTGGCACGTGCATATCCACAACAAACTATATGCAGAATGGTAATTGATGCAATGTTCAACAAGGCGTTATTAATGTGTATTCGTTTGAAAAGATGCACAACAATAATAATCGTTAATGGATAACAACAACAACAACGGTAATAAACATTTGCACGTGAACATTGTTTGTTTGTTTACTAATGTGGAAACGCGTGCGGTTTTTTCTTGAACACTGCCATTACGGTTTGGCCATTTCATTGACCAAATTTCGTTTTGTTGTTTGGAAAAAATATTGAAAATTGAAAAAAAATGAACAGTGATAATCAATTTAGGTTAGGATGCATTCGATAATCGATTGTTGTTGTTGTTATTGGTACCATTATCATTGAGTGAATTTTTGATTTGAATTGAGCAATCATTTTTGTTGTTGAATTAGTGATGCATATTGGTTTTTTAGTAGCGAAGAAAGAAAAATCCAATTTTCGATGATGATTTAATAATTCAATATTGGCATCATCAAAGTAATCACGATGCAATGATGATGATCGGATTTGTATCTGATGACAGTAAATAGGATCAAAAATTTTTTGAAAATCCTCTTTGTCGGGATTTCTTTCTTTCTACCAGTTTGTTTTTTGTTTTTGTAACGAAAAAATTACCAGGATGATGATATCAAATAACGTGCCAAATGTTAAAAAAGGATTTTTTGCATCTCTACTTTTCGATGTTCGATTCGGATAATGTTGTTTGAAATGTAATTTGAGTATCTTATAATTCAATCATTTCGTAAACATTCAATCGTTGATTCATTTGAAAACAAGAAAAAATAATCAGAAGAAAAACAAAGAGAATGATGATAATGATAATAATGATGTAATCTTCTTATAACAGTAATAATAATAATGATATTTGGCCAATGTCAATGTCAAAATATCTTTGATTTTATCGTTGATTTTCGATTTTTATCTTTGTTTTTTTTGTTTTGTTGATTTTTTCATTTCGAACGGAAATTCTCATTCGAATAATTTGTTCATCATAATGGCTATAGTGATGCCATCTATCAAATGTTAAATTAAAGAAAATTTTTGTGCTGCCATCTATTCGACGTTGTTGTTGTCGAACTTGTGGAATGTTAACAAATTTTTTTGGACAATGTTGTTTTGGTTGACTCGAATTTGATGTTTTTAATTTTTTTGATTAAATCATGACGAAATTATCAATCCGACAATGTTTAATTATACGAAAAAGATTCGTTTTACTTTTTCGTTTTGCTTTACTAATGTTTACTATTGTTATTTTGATTTTATTTTATTGTTTTTTCTGTTATGATCAACCGTCGGATGACGATTTTGTAAATCAACAAACAAAATTGATATCGTCAAAATATTCATCATCAAAACATCCAACATATGTAATAGTTATGACCATTTGTGGTGAACAAAGTTTTCATCAAGGAATAATTTCATTAAAATCTATATTAATTTTTCATTCAAATCAAAATCAGCGACAACGACCATTGCATTTTATCATTATGACCGATCCAGAAATGATGAACGCCATTAGCCATGCGGTAATGTCATTTGAATTTTTGGAAAATTTTCAAAAAAATTAACCCCAATTTTTTCTTTTTCCTTTAGCTGGATCAAATGCACACCGAATTATCTTCGTCGTCACCTTCACCATCATCAACGAAGGAGAATACAGATAGATATTTTACATACGATTTAAAAAAAATTGAATATCCAAATATGAATACAAGCAATATTCAAATATGGAGATCATTATTTAAACAATGTGCATCACAACGTTTATTTTTACCGGCTATTTTAATCGATTATGATTCAATTATTTATCTAGATACTGATGTTCTTGTATTTACACCGATCACTCAAATTTGGTCATTTTTTAATCAAATGAATCAAACACAATTAGCTGCAGCAACATATGAAAGTGAAGATTATTCAAGTAATTGGTATTATCGTTTTGCCCGGCATCCATATTATCCACCATATGGATTAAATTCTGGTGTTATGCTTATGAATCTAACACGAATGAGAAAATTTGGTTGGACCGAACGTTTGCCGACAATTTTAAATGAATATCGTTCAAAAATTGTATGGGGTGATCAAGATATAATTAATATTATTTTCAGTAAAAATATTGATAAAATTTTAGTAATGGATTGTTGCTGGAATTATCGACCAGATCATTGTGTTTATAGTCAAACATGTCGATCAGCTAAACAAAATGGTATTCGAATATTACATGGTAATCGTGGTTCATTTGTACAACCAGATAAACAACCAATATTTAAAATGATGTTTCAATTGATTGAACAATTTAATCTTGGCCGAAATGAATCGTCAACAATTGTAATCATCAATGAACTTAAACAGATAATGTTCAAACAGAATAATATTGTTGGACAATCAAATTTGAAAAATAATTGTGATAAAATTCCTAATTTAATCATCAAATCAATCGAATCAAATATCAAAAATGACAATGACAATTAACTAACGACAAAGAACGACGCATGACCGCATTTTTAATTGAAAAACAAACACAGAAGTGAAAAAATCTAATCATCATTGTCATCGTTGCTATAGATATTTTAAACAACGTAACATTATGGAATGATCGGCAAAAATTATTTTATTAGTTTAATAGAAATTTTCTACATCTGTTCGATTGATTGTTTCTGGAGAGAAAAAAAGTTTATGTGATGATAATAATGATGATGATGATTTGTTGATCAACCACAATCAGTTTAATCGATTTTTTTGGATTCAAAATGTTTTGATCAAGGATTTTTTCCCCTCCGGTAAAAAAATGAATGGCCCGACAACCGACCATCATTCAATCGAATTATGTTCGATTCATTTATCGAATCAATCAAAATACGGACATGAATCGATTTGGAAAACGAAGAAGAAAAAGAAAAAATTTTCAAATTGCCGTAATCGTATAAAACAAATGATTGAATCGAAAAATTTTCATGTAAATTTTTATGTAAATTTTTTTGAATGTGAAAATTTAATCCTTTTTTTTCAATTGTAGAAAATTTTACTTGTACTTATCCTGATTGAATGGACAATGATTAGCTGTGAAGTTGTTATCGATCTTTATACAAGCAGTAGCCATAAGAATCGGTCACATCATTCAAACAACAATACGACAACAACCCCGACGGAATTGGAAAATAATAATAATAACAGCATTGATTGGCAACAAATTCAACATTCATTACAATTAGCTAGTCTTTTTATACAAACAATGTTTGTTTTAGAAATCATTATCAAAATAATGGTATATTGTTGTGGATTTTTTCGTAAAAAACGTCATATTTTTGATATGTTTGTTATTACATCATCATGGATATTATCAATAATATTTATGCATTATAAATATCTTCATTATACCGAGGCAATTAGTTTGTTGCGTTTTTGGAATCTTCTGCGTATTATTTATGGTAAGAATTAAAAAAAAAATTGGATTTTTCAATTTTTTTCTAATAATCAAAAATTTTTATTCAAAAATAGGAATGATTGAAGCTGATGAAGAATCAAAAGAAATTGAAGATGAAAAAAATCAAATTGATGATAATGATGACGATCAGAATGATGAACATGAATCATTGAATGAATGATTAGCTCAATTCTTCTTCTTTTTTCAAATAAAATTCACTATTTTTTATTTATTTTTTAAAAGAGAAAATTATTATTGCTCAAATAAATTTAATTTAAGAAATTTCATAACATTTTTTTTTCTTTCCAAAAGATTGTTTGTAATTTCTGGTAAAACATTTTCAATAGTTAGCTGGACAAGTTTATCATTCATTTCATCAAGTTGATATTTATCAATCAAGGGAAGATAAAATAATAATGTTTGTTCATTCAGATTGTTTCGTATGAATGTTCGACAATGTTTCATTAATTGTTCATC